CCTTCAGTTTTATTGAGATATTATTGACATTCAGCACTGTATAAGTTTCAGGTCCACAGCATAATGACTTGACTTACATATATTGTGACATTCTACCACAGTGATTTTAGTTCACATCCATCATGTCAATGAGATATAAAGAAGACTAGAAAATGTTTTACCTTGTGATGAGAACTTTTAAGATCTTTTCTTTTAGCTTCCAAATATACCATACAGTAATATTAGCTATAAAGTCATTATATTGTACATTGCATCTCCAGTAACCATGTATCTTATAACTGGAAGTTTGTATATTTTAATCACCTTCCTTCAATTCCCCCCCTCCCCACCACCACCATCCTCTACCTCTGGAAACTACAAATCTGATCTGTTTCTGCGAGTGTTTTTTGTTTTTAAGATTCCACATATCAGTGAGGTCATAGAGTATTTATTTTTCTCTGACTTATTTTACTTAGCATAATGCACTCAAAATATATCCATATTGTAGAAAATGGTGTGTTTCCTTCTTTTATGATAGGTTAGTACTCCATTGTGTATGTGAGATTACATCCTTTTTAATTCTTATTGAGGTAACATTGATCTACAGCACTGTATATAATTCAAAGGCATAGGATCACATGTTTTCAGATGTATGTGAGCACACCACTCCCACTGCCAAGGCAGCCATAGCTCTCCACCATGGTCCATTGGACCCCCTCTGCAGTCAGACTTCAAGGGTTTGCCTCTTGACTCCTCTTCATAAGCCTACTTCATTCTTCATTTTAGGAATAAGTTCTCTCTAGTTTGCAGGTTGCTGGATGGGATATGGCCACCAGTTCATAGCATAAAAACATACCCTTACACAGCCATTCTTAGGGAATTCTTTTAAATTCTTGCTTCTCTGATTCCATATCCTAAAACTCTCTCTGCTTTTCTTCATCTCCTCCATATTCTTCCGTAAGGTACCTCTGATAATCCAAGATGTATCTCATTTTGGGTTAAGGAACTATATCATTGGTTCAGTCAACTATGTCTGGAAGAATAGGCTCGTGTTGTACATGTTCTATAGGACTTGGCTTTGCTGTCCATTGATGGAATAAAGATGTTCTTACCACAAAGAAATGGCAATTATGTAACAAGATGGAGGTGTTAGCTAACATTATGGTGGTAATCATTTTACAATATATAAATATATCAAATCAACACATTGTATACCTTAAATGCATAAAATGTTATATGTCAATGTAACATAAAGTTGTGTATGTGTGTTTGTGTGTGCGAGGGGAGACCTTAGAAATTACTCTTATGCCCATATACAACATTATACTTGATGGTGAAAAGCTGAAAGTATTTCCTAAGATCAGGAATAAGAAAAATATATCCACTGTCTCCACTATTATTCAGTAATAGTGGTCCAAATGGAGCAATTAGGCAAAGAAAAGTTATAAGAATAATCCAAATTGGAAAAGAAAAAGTGAAATTATCACTATTCACAGATGGCAGGGTAAATATATAGAGAGAATCCAAAGAGTCTACCAGCAAACTACAAGAAATAATAAATGAATATAGTAAAGTGGCAGGAAACTAAATCAATATACAAAAGTCAGTTGCATTTCTATATGCAAACAATGTTTCAGAGAAAGGGAAATAAGAAAAATAATTCAATTTATGATCACAACAAAAAGAATGAAATAGCTGGGAGTAAGCTTAAAAAAGACAATGAAGATGCTTACATTGAAAACTATAAGATAATGTTAAATGAAATAAAAGAAAACATACATACACACAAAAAAAATGGAAAGATAACCTGTAGAATAAACATTCTTGGACTGGGAGAATAAACATTCTTAAAACAGCCATATTGTCTAAAGACATTTACAGATTCAATGCAATACTTATAAAATCCCAGGAATTTTTTCAAGGAAACCCAACAATTATAAATTTGTATGGAATCACAAGGATGTCAAATCATCAAATCAACTCTGAAAGATAAAAAGAAAAATGGTGGCATCACATTTCCTAGCTTTAAACTATACTTCACAGCAACAATGATCAAAACAGTATGGTATTGGAACAAAAAAAGAAATTCGAAACAAGGGAATAAACAGAAAACACAGAAATAAACCACTTACCTACATATACAAAAATTAATTCAAAATGGATTAAAGATTTGGATCCATAAAATATATTTTAGAAAACATAGCAATTAAACTATAGGACATCTACTGCAAAAAATGTTTTGGGGGATTTAACTCCAACAGCAGGGTAAACAAAAGCAAAAATAAACAAGTGGGGTTGGCCTCCCTGGTGGCACAAGGGGTTAAGACAAAAACCTCTGAAGCTATCCACAGCTACTGCAGCATGAGTTCAATCCCCAGCCAGGGAGCTACCCACATGGTGCAACAGACCTCTCCTGACTCACCCACTGCTCCCCTCAGCAGTGTATTTCAATCAGTCTTCCTGTTCTGCTTCCCACTTTGTCTCTGGTGAATCCTCTCACCCCTCACACTTCTGGCTTGTACCCCAGTTCTTGTATGCATAAATAAATAAATATTTTAAATAAATAAATAAATAAACAAATAAGTGGGGTTATGTCAAATTAAAAGCTTTTGTACTTCAAAATAAACCATTACAAAATCACTACAGACTGGGAGAAAATATTTTCACATCACACATATGACAAAGGGCTAGTCTCCAAAATATATAAAGCACTTATACAACTCACATACAGATAGCCTAATCAAAAAATGGGCAAAAGACCTAAATATGCACTTTTCTAAAGGAGACATTCAGATGGTCTACAGGCATATAAAAAATTGTTCAGTATCACTTCTTATAAGGGAAATACATATCAAAGACACAATGAGGTATATCACCTTACCACTGTGAAAATGGCCTGTATCAAAAATCATGGAAACAACAAATGTTGGTAAGGATGTTAAGAAAAAGGAACGCTCATCCCCATTAATGGGAATGCAGTTTCCTCTATGGAAAAGCTTATGGCAATACCATTTTAAAAAAAGGAAATCCCGTATCATCGATCCAATAATATTTCTGGTAGGTATTTTCCCAAAGAATATGAAAACACTAATATGAAGATTTATGTTCATAGCATTACTTTCTACAATTGTCATGAAACCAAACTAAATGCCAAATGACAGATGACTGGATATAGAAATTGTGGAATATATACTCAATGGGACTACTCAGTTAACAAAAAAGATGAAATAGTGCCTTTTGGGACAAAATGGTTGGAACTTGGGAAGATTATGCTGAATTTTAAATAAGTCAGAAAGTAAAAGACAGATATCACTATCTATGGAATATAAATAACCAAAAACCATATACTGGCAAAGCACAGCAAAAACAATTTCTAGACCTAATAAAAAAAGTGTACTGGTTACCATAAAGAAGAGGGGAAAGGGAGAGAGAATGGGGGAAGAAAGAGAATAGGGCATTGGTGTGGGAAACTTGGTGGGGAGCTAATGAAACATGTGCACATATGGGGAAGTGAAAATGAAGCTCCAAATTATATAAACACATAAACAACTAATAACAGTAGTTCAAAAAAAAAAAACCCTAAACCCTAAGGGATGAACAACATTCTCCTACAAGAGGGGCCTCCCTGGTCACACAAGGGGATAAGACGCAATTTATGAAGCAATCAGCAGCCACTGCAGCACGAGTTCAATCCCCGGCCAGGGAGCTACCCACATGGCACAGCAGACCTCTCCTGACTTGCCTGCTGCTCCCCTCAGCAGTGTATTTCAGTCGATCTGCCTGTTCTGTTCCCCACTCTCTCTCTTGTGAATTCACTCACCCTCCCTCCACACCTCCGGCCTGTGCCCCAGTTCTTGTATGCATAAATAAATAAATCTTTAAAAAAAAAAAAAACAGGGATCAGTAAACTACACCTTTATAAGTAGATGGATAAAATGTATTGGTTAATAATTTTTTTAATTACTCTTAAGGCTAACTCTGACTCTCAGATAACAGAAACTATCTTAGCTAAAAAATCAGCTGTTCAAGGTGGAAAATTCTCAAAAGAGGGGAAAAGGGGGGATTTTCTAATCAACACCAAGTTGTCTAAAGGAGACTGAATGTTTCTGACTGGATTTACTTCCTTCATGGGGACATATCCTGCTGCCCTTTGGGATGAGAACTTCAAAGGACAGCAAAAACAATTCCTAGACCTAATTAAAAAAAATATACTGTTTACTGTAAGGAACAGGGGAAAGGGAGAAAGAATTGGGGAATGAAGTGGGTCTAATATCAAGCCCAATATCCTGTTTTCTTCCACTGAGAAGTATGCCTGTACTAACTTGTACACCAGGTATCCTTTCCACCTACACCAGCCCCTTCTCCAATAAATGCCGTGCTGACCTTTGTTCCACCAGTGGCCTGGAACCTTAGCCAGGTTCCTAACCTGTCCACAGACTTCCTAGTGCCATTCATGTCTTCAACTTTTCTTGTCATTTAACCCAAGGAAATCACTCCCTTCCAACTGTTCCATTTGTCTGGATGTATCTGGATTCATTCAGCATCTACACACTTGAGCCTTGTTCTAAGATAAGCATTTCATAATCAAAAGCAGTTTTCACAGAAAATAGGCACATACTCCAGTAAAATAAGTGTCCCTCCCTGGAAGGGACACCGATAATTACAAAAGTGAAAACTGGTGACTTAGGGTCAGATGTACGGCTACAAGCCCATTCTAGGGAGCATGCTAGCCCCAGCCACGAAGCCCCAGCCACGACCACTGATTTGTCTGTGTATTCAAACTCCTCTTTCTTCTATCAGTCACACTTGGGCCATTTATAGGCTGAAGTCTTGGTCACTTATCACCCCACCCCTCTCATTTCCTGAATCGTGCAAAACTGCCTTGCACAGAGCAGTATCATCTCCTTCCCACGAGCCAGTGGAGGAAAGAGTATTTCCACGAGTTCCATTGGGCCATCTGCCTCTACTCCAAGCCTTTTCTAGACTGGGGGCTGCGTTCTAGGGATCCGAAAGGGCTCCCCATGGATCTACCTTATTACCATGGCCCTCTGTCCAAGCAAGACTGTGAGACCCTGCTGTTGAAGGAAGGAGTGGATGGCAACTTTCTGTTAAGAGACAGCGAGTCTGTACCAGGTGTCCTGTGCCTCTGTGTCTCGTGAGTAGCCTCGTCCCCCAAAATATTTGGAGACTTATGTTGAATGCCGTGATGATGACCAAACAGAAAAGAAGTTGGATCTCACTCTGGCTTTGCAGCCCAAATGAGCAGAGTGAGAAATAGCTAGACTCTGTCAAGAGAGCGTGGACGGAGGGTGTAAGCTCTGCCCTTCTCTTCTTGATGCTAATGCTATACCCAGGTGAACTCTCTAGGCAGCAGGTGGTGGTGAAGGAAGCCTGGGAGGTGAGGGCATGGAGAGAAGGAGGACGTGTGAGGAATCCCCTCTCCTCTGGACGTCAGTTTGCTTGCTCTGGAGGAGGCATGGGGTCCTTCATGAAATTTCCATTTGAGAGACCAAGTTTTTTATATATATTCTACTAACCCAACTGCAGTACTTAAAATACTAATGATATTACAGATTTTGTTAGATTTGTAAAGGGCTTCAACAGACATCATTTCCTTTCCTTCTGGTCGTCTTCCAAGGCAACCATAAGCAACCCCTCTTTTGTTGATGAAGAAATAGGTCTGAATTTCTCAGATGACTTGGTATTAAACTCATCTGCATTGCCAGAGTTTAGGGTAAAATTTCAGGCCAGCGTATCAGAGCCATACTGTAGAAGGAAACTGGTTAGCTTGGTTTAGAAAGCAACCCCAAACAAACATCAATAGGAATCTACTATCTTAAAGCACTCTCTTCTTTATAAGTATCGCTGAACATTTTCTTCTATCACAGGAATTAAAACCCTGCTTTTCTATAGATGAACTTAAGTGCTTCTTAGAGTTCGGTAGCTATGCGGACAAAAATGACAGTCATTACTAACAGAACAGGCAGGGGTATATTTCTTTCCTTAACTAATGGTAGGGATACAGGAAGAAAAAAGACAATGTGAGGATGTTAGCAATTTGAATTTTCAAGTTGCATGTGACATTAAGATTATTTTCATAGATATTTTCAGCTATTGTTAATTCCTCTTAATACTTTCATAATGATTTCATTGACCCATTTTTAGCCTGAGTTCTTTGTGTTTTAATAAGTGATTTTTTGCAGTTTCTATGTATGAAGGTAAAACTTAAAAAAAAAAAAAAGACACACTCAAAAAACAACTACAGACCAATTTCAATTTCATCTAATATCAATATTAAATAAACTACTAACAATTGGAAAGGTCATTAACACATTACAGAAGGTACACTATGCTCCAGTGAGCATCAGTATTGTCATGGATGGTTCCATATTAGGAAAATTATTTCTGTAATTACATATTAATAGTCAAAGTTCACAAATGAATAACTCAATCAAATTTTCTTTAAAGGTGTTAAGTCAAATTCCGCATCCACTGCTCAATAAAACACACACATATATGTATATACACACTACTAGTCATACAAAGTTGACTAACCAACTTTTCCAAAGGCAAGATGAAGTATGCAGAACTTATATTAAAATCATGACTGAGCCAATGGAACGCATGTCAGCACACTGTGTAACATTTTCTAGACAATATTAGCAAGTGTAAATAACCAAAAGAAATACATGTAAGAATTGAGAAGAGAGATGCAAAGTTATTATTTGCAGTTGACATGATTTTGATGAAATCTAAGAATCAATTGAAAAACCACTGAAAGCTGTAAGGAAATTCAATAAAAATATGTACTGATAAAATTGAAATTTAAAAATCAAGTGCTGTTCATGTATATATAATAACAGTAAGGAAAGATTACAAAACTGTTCATTTATTTTAATAAAAAAAAATAATGCTAAAGAATAAGTGTGCTATGAAATGTATGACTTGTATGAAGAAAGCTTAAATATCTGTTGGATTATTCACTAGAGAACTTACATGAATGGAAGGATTCCATTTGGAAGCTTGTAGTTCATGTTAATCTATAAATTCAATATGTTTCCAGTATTAAAAAAAAAACAGAATTAAGTTTTCTTTCTTCAAGAATATGAAGTTTATCCAGGTGGGAGGTAGAACCTGCTTAAATAGCCAGAAAATTTTAATTAAAACAAAGGAGGGCTAGTTCTATCAAATATTAAAAGAAATTATGAAACTACAGTAATTATTAAAAAGATGAAAACGTTCAGTGCTGACCAATCTATGAATAAAATACAGAATGCAAAAATTAGACCAGGTACATATAGAATTTAGCATATGATTTAAAGAGCATTTCAGATCAATGAGGAAAAGACAAATGACAACTAATCATATTAGAACATTTGGTTGGTCACTGAGAAAAAATAAACCCACTTCCCTTTTTTCTTAAAGTAAAATTAGTGCAAAGTGGTTCTAATGTACAACTAACTTTTAATGAAACTATGGGAATTAAGACATAAGAAGACATGAACTATTAAAATATTCCTCAAATTGTTGCCTGATTTTTTTTTTTTGAGGAATATTTTTATTTATTTTTTTTTTATAGAGGCATGTTTTATTTATTTATTTGTTTGTTTGTTTTGTTTATACATGCACTGGGTACAGTCAGAAGCATAGGAGGGTGAGAGAATTCACCAGAGCCAGAGCGGGAAGCAGAGCAGGCAGAAGGACCGAAGTACACTGTTGAGGGGAGCAGCGGGCGGCAGGAGAGGTCTGCGCGCCATGTGGGACCCTCCTCTGGTGGCCGGGGAGCAGCCGGGGATCGAACCGGCGTCCCAGAGGCCACGGGCAGCTTCGCAACCCAGCGCTCAACCGCTGCGCCACCAGGGAGGCCCTTGAGGAATATTTTTAACAGGCAACTATAAACCAGAGATGGGGGTATGGGGAGAAGGGAGTAAGATCAAAATGGGTGGGAATAGCACAAGGGACTATGGTGATGGTACACAGGTGAATGGGTCATGGGAATTTTGTGGGGACTATAACAGAGACGAAAATGCGTACATGGCACAAAAATGAAAAAGGATGCAAAAAATGTAAAATAAAATAATAAAGAAAAAAATTTTTTAGATATTCCTCAAATTGAATGACCTTTCTAAACAAGTTGTATAACCCAGAATTTATGAAAGAAAAGATCGATAAATATGACCACTTAAAAAATGATATTAACAGCAAATGAAGGCTATTGACTAACCAACTGAACAGAAATTATTAAGAAGAGATTTTAAAAATCAATAGAAAACTAGGTAACGTGCAAGAGGATGAGAGCTTCTGAAACAAGAAAGTGAAATTGCTAGACCTCACTAATAATGAAAGAAATGCAAATTAAAACAAGAGACCATTTTTTATCTATTCCATGGATGAGAATTTAAACTTTGAACACACCCAGCATGTGCTGGGAAGCAGACACTTACTTGTGCCCATGCAGAAGGGGGTAAAATATAAAAGGCATCAGTGTAAACTTTGACCCATAATTTCATGCATAAAACTCATCTTCTAATTATGACTTCACAAATGTGTGCAAATTGGCATTAACAAAGTTGGTAAATCCAGTTATGGTTCAAAAAAACCTCCAAGACCTGTTGTCATACATAAAGACAAGGTGCAAAGAATGACCCACTTGTGCAAAAAAAAAAAAAAAAAAAAAAGCATGTCTATATCCTTGTCTAGTCATATAAATATTTCAGGTCTTATATAAGAAATTTTCAAAAGTTGTTGCAACTGGTGCATAAGTCTGAGTTTTGTTTCCCACTTGCAAGAGGTCTGAGTCTGGGAAAAGGTTACGGATTCATTCTTTTCATTTGATGACTTTGTTACACTATTTAAACGTCTTATGTGTGTGTATTACTTTGTAATTGAAAAAAGTTTATAAAAATGCAGGGAATCTCTACTATCTACTCAAACATTGTCTGAGGACATGGGGCGATGCCAAGGACGCTCCCTAGGGAACTTATATTTTTATTTTCAAGGAGACACAAGACAGGTAAATATGCGAAACAAGGGTGAGGTCTAAATTCTAGAAGAGGCAGTTCTTTATAAATTCAAGGACAGGAGAGTGGGGCTGGGAAGTTTTCTGAACTGAGACTTAGATCGTGAAAATGAGATGAAAGGTATAAGGGGAGGGGGAAAGGTAGGATGTAGGGTGCTTTAAAGCACTAATGAATCACACAGGCTTCTGTAGAGGTAGTTTGGAAACCAACTTTTGGAAAGGTCAATATGGAATAGTATTATAGGATCTTAAAAGAATGACTTTGTAGATGGTAGGGAAATAAGGATGGTTTCTGAGTAGGGACATGACAAGACCAAGACTATATGGGGGTGGGCCAAAGACAACAAAAGAGACAGTTGTGTCTGGATGAGAGATGGTGAGGAACTAGCTAGAGTGAGGTGAGCAGGTGGGATGGAAAAAAGAAGGTGCAAGGCTGTGACAGTGGCAGCAGGGTGAATAGTTTACACTGGGATTCTCTTTAAAAATTGATGCTCTGTTCTGTAACACATCAACTCATTTGTATATTCATCAAGAGCAAAAGCCACTAAGAAATGATACTAATAAATCAAATGGAAAGGCAATCTGTATGTGATCAAATCTCACCCTCCTCCCTGCCATGGCACTAAAAACCTAGTAGCAGATAGCACTGACCAGAAAACTAGTTGGTAACCTGGCTTCCTGATCTAAAGTGTGATAACTTCCAAAAAACACCCACACGTGAAGCGCTGCCTGAATAGTGTGAATTCATGAATGTCAGAGGTTGAAACTGGCTTTGCCTTTTTAATCAGCAGAATCAAAATGGCTTGCATATTAGGAGCAGTAATGTATGTATCTGCAGGTTTGACGGGAAAGGGGCTGTCTAGCCACAGGAAGCCCGCAGGTGAGATGACATGCTGCCTTTGCTCACTGAGGAGGAAAAGGCAATAGCAAAAATAAGTGAGAGGCACTGGAGTCAGTTCCAGTTCTCAGATTCCCAGATCTTTGGAATGACTCTAGAATTCAGGAAGAAAAAAGCTTTTGCTATATTTTGTTTTAGAAAAATCAATGTAGAGCGAGGTATAACGAAGAAAGCAGATATTATTTAAATCTTATGAGACTACCCTCTATGCATATGCAATGAGAAGTACACACACACA